ATCCATCTGTAAAGTCATTAAAATAGACCACTCTGGCCTCAGTCTCCATGTCTCCATGCATGATGGGAAATCGTCCTATCCTGTTACAGCTTCTACACAGATCTGTGGCGTGTGCGTCCATCAGGTCCACGGTCCTGACGACGCTGACATTCAAACTAATGAAGACGGAACTGTTTGTTGACTGGAACCGCTCGGTTCTCAGATATTCACTCCACTTTGTGTTTTGATAAACGACTACGTTAACGTGGGACAGTTTAGGTTTCAAGCCAAAAGTCATGACTGACTCCTTGTTGATATTTTCATTGTATTTTTTTTTAATTCATTTTTCCCAAAATGGTTTAAATATATTTTTTAAATAATTAACTTCAGAGTTGATGCTGCCCTCTTCTAGTTTGCGATTAGACTGCGTTTAATGTCAGCGGGCAACAATATTTGTTCTCAGTGATATAGTGTACGTCAGTGAAGGATTAAATAACATTAAAAAAGAAAATAAATATAAAAAACCACTCTGTCCATTCTCCTGCTGATTCTGAGATCAAGGCAAAGACTGTTGATCCATTCTCATCTGACTCAGTGTTAAATGTTGGCTGAAAAATAAACCTTGAAATTATGGCCAAAACATCAGATTGTCAAGTCAGAATTATTTAAGAAATAATATTAAATTACATTTTGAAAGTCTACACTTTTCAAGGTTAAATATTTAAATGTGTTTAGACCACACCATGATTAGGTTAATGGATCATATGTGTGAATGTGGGTCTACCTGGGGGCTGGGGAGAATCCTGCCCCCTACTGGTGACTGACTCCAGCTTCCTCCGCAACCATAAAGAAAATTAAACTTGTACAACCTCTGTCTGTTGTCGTGTCGGTGCAGTAACCTCCGACACTGCTCTTCTGAAAAGGTTACTGTTCTTATTTCCTCCACATTTGTCACTTGTCTGGAGGTGTGTCCAACATCAGGCTCTGTGATGCCAGGACAGTACGCTCCCCCTGTTGTACCAGCATGAAACAACAAACACACACAGCCGGGACGTGGAGAACTGGACGGACCTGGATAAGACGGTCACCGGTTAAATGTCACTGCGGTCGAGTGTGTGTTTCCATCGGTTCTCAGCACATTTAGGATTATTGATGTCGGAGTCGGTGTTAGCACTTTTGTTAATCTACATATTGTCTGCAGCCAAAGAATGGTGGAGAGATGAAGGGTGTACGGGGGGAGGAGGAAGAAGAAGAGTGTGAGCGGAGTGGAGTGGGAGGAAGGGAGAGAGAGAGAGAGGAGAAATGGATGGAGGCACTTTTCCTACGGCCCGCTCTTTAATCACATGCTGCAATATGATGTCATCCTCACTGAGCGCCCGCATTTATATGGTACCAGGCTGCGGTACATACAGTATGTGATTGACAACAGCCCAGCAGCAGTACACAAGTACATCTGACTGGTTACTGTACAGCACGTGTCAAACCCAAGGCCCGCAGGCTGAAAGCAGACCCCCAAGTGTTGTTTTTGTCGCCCTCAGGATCTTAAGATGCGTTCAATTACCTTATAATAAAGTCCATGCTGCTTCAGAGAGTTTAATGACCACAGATTAAAGTCAAGTACAACAATCTCACTGTGAGATTTAGTTTAAGTCCAGCAGGCGATGACAAAACATCTTTTTTATGTAATATTATTAAACCCATGTTAAGATCCTCTCCTTTTTTAAATCATTCCAGCCAAGAATTTTTCAGGGTGACACTGCAGCTAATGTCCAGCATCACCGTCTGAGCTACTACGCCAAAATGTTTTAAAAATAGCAGGTGAATATAAATCACCCAAATATCACAGCAGTACTACTTTAAGTAAAATGTCATATAGTACACCAGCCAGCTTCGGTGTTCTCCCAGTTGCTGAACTCTTTGTACTCGGGGGTTTCTTTATCATTTTTTTTTTTCAAATCTAAAACGTACATGTAAGTGTAGGATTATTTCCCAGGATGGCTGTTAGTGATTGGACGGGAATCAAGAACCGGTCACCAATGTCCCAGTTCCTTTAGAATCATTAGTCTTCTTGTTGAAGAGTGAAGTACGGCTGCATTTGACTAAAAATAGACACTGAGTTTGTCAACAAAGATGAATTTTCTACGGCGTGCAGAAACATCTAACGATTTACATCCACCTGCCGTCACATGCTGCTTGAGGCTACTAATGAGGCTCTGTGGAGAACTTCCCACACAGCGTCCTGTCTCCAATATCTGGGGTAATGATCCAGGGTCTGTGCTTTCACTATAACTGACGAGGCGTCTGTTCTGCTCCAGGTGGCGCTCACACAATGCTGTTATTCCAAAAATGTTGATCTGAAAAAGTTGTAGCGATTCGTAAACCATTTTAGCTCTATGTAAAAAATCAGGGGTAAAATTGCCATGTGACATCATTAAGGAATTGGATTGATGAGGGATATTGATAACGGAATTGGTATTTAACCATAAAAAAAAAACGTTAAATTTAACCATAAAATTAAATGATGAAATGTCTGATTGGCTCATTAGAAAAATCGATGAATGTCATTTAAAGGGACAGCGTGTCCTCGTTTACAAAAACACAAAGTCAATGACTACAGTTTTCATACTTGATTCTATTTTTACCAAAAAAGAATCGACACAGACACGAACATTGTTGGCCTTTTAAAAAGACCATCATCGTCATCATCGTCATCATTGCTGAAGTTCTGTCTGAGAAGATTATTAATCTGGAATTTCCTGCTCTCACAATCTGTCCATCTTCGTTCTGTCTCTGCAAACATGATGAATCTTCAGAGGAGTGTGTACTTGTGTACTCTGTACTTCAGTAATGTACACACAACCCTTTAAATACTTGTATGAATGTATGTGGATTTTTCCCCTTTTCCTACTGTTCAAATGTGTTTAAATGTAAAACTCTGATGTTTGAAGGTCAGAGTAGCCATAAAAAAAACATGACAAATGTTCAACGTTTTGGTTCGGCTTCACTGAATATTTTTCACAGAATATTTTAAGCAGATTAAGATCCACTGTCTCTGTCGTCTGAAGCTGCTTCTTCCTCTTCCTCTTCTTCATCTCTACATCTTGACTTTATCTTCTCAGTGTCCCCACCTTTCCTGTTTGCATGTACACAATGAAACAGATGCGTCTTCCTGTGTTTACACCAGGGGGCATCTCG